CTCAGCTTCCGCGGAAGCATACAGTGCAAGCTGCAGATTTCACGCGCTCAAACACTATCAAACTGATAAGATCGTTCACCGTCTATAGCCGGGTACCCATTTCCACCTGGGTGAAGTGAGGAAAATTTGTGCAAAGTGCCTTTCCGAAGAACACAACGTTGGGCCCCTGATGGGAGTCGAACCCACGACCTTACGGTCGCGAGTCCGAGAGCCTAACCACTAGGCCACCGACGCCACAGCGCTATAGAATAGAAATGACAGTTACGGCGCTAGCGAGGGCCTTGTTTTGATATAATATTTGGTTAGTGTTTGTTTCTTGCGTCTTTTATTTTATTATTGTGGGTGCTATACGTCATAAAACATTAAAACATTTTGGGCGGCACTGCTCTATGGACGAACCGCGCCTGGTGATGGCAGTGAAGGTGTGAGGTTTCCTTTTTTTGGTTGGGGGAGGGGGGGGGGGTATTTTGTTGGAAAAAAGGGGGGAGGGAAGGCTGTCGTTGTGTAATAAGATTTGAGTTATCAGCGCTGTTGTTACTGTCTATCCAGCCACCAAGTCTTAGCTGGGCGTTGACTATAATCTTAACTACAACATAATTATTTTTTCACGAAAAGGGAATCAAAGTGAAAAGTTATCTGGTTTCTGAAGAGCATGCAGGTCGGGAGATTTCTAATGGGCCGAGGGTGACGGAGATCGGATTAAGCTCTGTGTGGATTTGATTTGACCGTGGCGGGGGTCTGTATACCGTTGGATAAGCTCGTTGACACACAGAGACATAACAGCTCGCTTATTCTCTAGACCGATGACAAGTCGTATTGGAAGTGTTCCAGCTACGAACTCGGAACACAGCTACGCCAAGCCTGAATGTTCTCAGCTTATTACGGAGGGCACTGTTGAGGATTGAAGAAGGGAACGATTTTCATAGTTCTACAAGTTCTTTTGTAGAAACAGTTAATTTCAATTTTATATTAATTTCAAATTTTAATTGAACACACACACAGTCTGTTCAATACGGATTTCTTTTAGCTCTTCTTACCGTGTATAAATTTATTCTAAAGCTTGACGCTGACTGATTTCCACTAAGAGCTATTAAATTTTATTGCCTACCACATTTTACAATTATGATGTCGATCTGAATTTACATTTCTGCGTAAAGTTCTTCATGTACATCCACTACCTGTGGAAGAGGCCAATATCCCCCCTGTTCATTATTGCTCTATGCGTGATAAGGAGCGCGCGTGTTCATTAGTGCAGTAGATTCTATGAGTGTGCGTGTTTGTGTGACTCGTCGCATTAGCCACAGAGGCACAGTGCTGAAGGTAATGCACAGTTAGGCTAGAGAAGTCGGCCTTTGTTGAGCTGTCCAGAGGGCTATAGAGAGCTGTGAGTGTAGCAGTTCTTGGATACTCTTATCGTTACTCCCTCCAGTCCCATCTAGATCTATACGTAAGGTGGGTTTTATTGCGTGAATGTGTTTGCAAATGCCACTGAAACGTGTTGTCTCATCGGCGCAGAACATATTTGACTTGATTTGTTATAATATATATTATTATTATTTCAACGATTTATTATTCACTTTTTCTTTCAACATCTTTAATTGGTTTCTCAGCATCACAAATCACATTAACATAAAAGCATGCCAACGGTTGATACGTTTTTTTTTCTTTATAAGTTTGTTTGTATGTTTGTTTATTAATTGGTTTGTTTGTTTGTTTGCTAATTTGTTGGGCTGGCTGGTTGGTTGGTTTGTTGGTTGGTTGGTTGGTTGTTTTATTTCGGTGGGTATGTTGGTTGGTTGGTTGGTTGGTTCGTTGGCAAATCGTTTTTTTTTAGGGGGTAAAGTCTTAAAAATTAGGCCTGTATTATTGATTCCATTTAATATTTTTGTTTTGTTTTTGTATTATTTTATGCTCTTTAAATTGTGTTTTGTATGTTTGTTGTTGTTGTTGTTGTTGTTGCTGTTGTTGTTGTTGTTGTTGTTGTTGTTGTTGTGTGCGTGTGTGGTAGCCTATCCGTTCGAAATGTTTGGAGCCCCGAAGAGCGTGCTCTTCACCAGAGCCATCGCCTCTCTTGGGTAGCGGGGGTGAGGCAGTCCAACCTCCCTGAATCCTCCTCGAAGAGATGCCACCGCGGACCTCTGTTGTTGTTGTTGTTGTTGTTGTTGTTGTTGTTGTTGTTGTTGTTGTTGTTGTTGTTGTTGTTGTTGTTGTTGTCGTTGGTTTTTTTGGTGATGATTTGATAAGATATTGATTTATAGTCTGCTTCTGATTTCTATTCAAATTGCCATTTAAATTGGTGCTATTTGTAACCTGCAGACTACGACAATCTAGTGGGGTTGGGTAATTCTTTGCTTATTTAATACCATCAATACTTCTGTTGTTGTTTTTTTACGGTTTCCGTATGTGATTTTTTTTTCGGTTTTGGTCTTTTTTTATCACATAATTTCTGATTATTTTTTTTTTGCATTTTCTGAGTCACATTTCTTCTGCAACTTTTTGTGTTAGTCTTCTTTAGTTACTTTCTTGGGTGTTACTTTCCTTGTACTAAATTTCGAATGTTACTTTTCCATTGTTGCTTTTCAAGAATTTATGTCTCTCCCCCCCCCCCCTTTTTTTTTGTTGTTAAGAGGAAATTTTTGCTTTGTGATCGTGTTGCTTTTCATGTCGTGTTATTTGTTCCACATTAAGGTTCTTATTATTATCGTTGGTATTGTTGATGGTGTTGTTGTTGGTATAGTTGTTGAGTTGGTGTTGTTTTTGGTATTGTTGTTGGTATTGTTTTCGCTGTTGCTGTTTTACTGTTACTGCTATGTTTTTTTCTTGATGATCTTGATCTTGTCCAGTGAATGTATATATAATTTTGTCTGCTGTATGCATGTCGTGGGTGGCGATTAAAAATAAGTACTACATGTCATGCACTTTCTTATTGAGTATAGAATCTAGTCTTGTGAGTCTTTACACTTCTCCTTTCACGCGAATAATACTAATAATTATTATTCTAAACAGTAAGTTATTTTATAGAAATATTATTTTGGTGCTTAAACCTGTGTTCACAGCACCAACGTCTAATAAATAGAAAATTTACAATTTTCCTCCCCATCACGGGATAGATCTATACTTTTTTCTATTCTTTGCCTTTTTTAGGAAGCTTAGGTCTGTGTTTATCAAAAGTTGCAATGCGGGGTAATCATCCTCACCCAAGAAAGATAGTCGGTTTAACTCAGCATTAAAAAAAATAATTGAGCAATAGACATGCTGCAGAGGCTTCTGCTGTTGCCAGG